CCATCCTAGGGCGCGGCTACACGCAGCTCCCTACAGGTCAGAAGATGTTTTTAGGTTCTTGCCAGGGGTGAAACCTACTGGGTGGGATTCAATGTTGGAAACTGTTTGTAGCAAAGAGTGTGCTACAGGATGCTTTGAATTGCAGTAATAATGAAATACGAGAAAACACTGTATACGTATCAATGGCAGTACTCCAAAATATACTTCTCATGACACCTTATTGTCTGAACTAAAAGCCTTCATAGCAGGACTTTATCACTCTAATCAGAATCGAAAGAATTTATGGAAAAGTAACAGATGTAGTGTTGAGATTTTTTAAAACAAAAGAGACAACAGGTTAGCTTTCCTTCAAAAGATCCCCCAAGAAAGAAAAAAATTCTAACAATGTGACTGCTATTTGCTCACCTTTTGAAAGCTTTAAAGTGTCAAGCAATTTATACAATGAATATGTGATAGCTGATGAACAACTTGTGTCCTTTGTGGTTGATGATGTTTTCAGCAGTATATGCCAAGTACACCTTCCAAATATGGCATAAAAATATATGCCCTGGGAGATGCGAAGGCCCTTTACACCTTGAATTTAGAAATCTATTCTGGAACTCAGCCACCAGGTCTTTACTTGTGCAGTAATAAACTGTATGACTTTGTGAACAGATTTGTTGCACCTATTTCAAATAGTAACCCAAATGTCACATTCAACAGTTGGTTCACTAGGTACCCATTGATGTTACATTTGCTAAAAGAACACCAGTTGACAAGAACAGGAACTATTCCCAAGAACACAGCTGAGAATCCTGAAAAAAATGTTGTAACATCACAACAGAGAAATGCGTAGTACAAGGGATTTCAGAAAGTCAAAACATTGGCCTCCTCTATGTTAAAGAAAAAGAAAGTAGTATTGATACTGTCAACATTACACCATGATCCTAAGATTGATAGTGAACCAGGGCAAGGTGTCACCCACCTGTAATGCTAGCACTCAGGAGGCTGAGACAGGAGGATTCTGTAAATTCAAAGTCACTCTATACTATATAGTGAGTTTAAGGGTAGTCTGGATGACGTACAAGACCCTGTCTCAAAAGAAAGAAAGAAACAAAAACTATTGATAGTGAATCTTCAACACAATTGAGGCCAGAAATGATCACATTTTAGAATAAAATGAAAGGGAGGACAGATTTTGTTGGCAAGTGACATAGCAACTACAATGTCACTTGAAACACAAAGCGTAGGCCAGTGATTAGTGTTTTACTTGAGTCTAAACGTGAGACATAAGCAGTTTCATAGTTTACAAAAAAAAAAAGCACAAAATGTCACAGAGAAATTTTCTTAAAGGCTTTGGAACTGATAAATACTCAATTACAGCAGAGGAAGAATGACATGTATCTGCCCAAGGAACTCCTCCAAAGGACTCTGGACAGGAGGAACATCACAGGCACCTCCCAAGAAAGCAGGAAGACCAGCAAGATGTGACACGTGTCCCACCAGTGCAGGCGGAGAAACAGACACCCGTGGGCTATCAGGGCAAGCAACGCTTGTGTCTGGAACAGACTGTTCTCTCGGGTGAGGACTGATAGGTGTGAAAACTGCAGCAGAGAGTGTTTCTTTGGGTTTTGTTTGCATTTCCTTTGTCCTTCAGATAGGAATCTATTTCTGCTGTTCTTCTTTTTTTTTTTTCCTCCATAATTTTATTGACTGCTGTTATTTTCTAGATCTTATAAGTAAACAGCTGATTTTTAAAATGTTAATGTTTATTCTAAACACTCTTTACATATTACAATTTAAATTTTATTTATTAATTTTTATTTTCCTGTTAAATATATATTGTTTAATATAATGAAACTCATAAAATTAAAATCAATAATTCATCAATAGAAATACTTCTAATAAATAAATATGGCATATGTACTCAGTATAATGCTCCTTTCATGAAATGCGCCATGATGCCCCTGGGTGACATATATTTAGAAGAATGAAGTTTTCTGTTTTTGCATCAAAATAAGGTTTAAAGTCCTCCTTTTTCTTTCCTGTTTTTCTTACACCACAAGTGAGATAGTGACAACCTTAAGACTAACAGTAACTATAATGACAGCAATATTTACTTTTGAATGAATATTATGAACAGTGTATTATCCCAAAATACTTAACATGTGGCAGCTCCCTTGACACTCACCAAATGAGCCAGCTGCTATTTTTATTTTTCTCTTACCCAGGGGAAGCTGAGTTACGCAGCAGCCTTAGCAGTCTTGCTCCAGGTCACACGTCTGGGAAGAGCAGGTTCTCCGCAGAGAGAATTCTGGAAGATCTAATTCCCAGCACGTGCTCCTCACGCCTGCACTGTGTTTTCGTGGCCTAGAAAGCTCAGCTAACTCAGTCTATCCTTCCTACGCATGCCCACCAGAACTCTTCTATTTCCCGTGGGCGGCTGAATGAGTGGAAGCTTCCTCATTTGGAGAAGAGCTAATATTTAGGGATGTTGTCCTTTAAGAAATGGTTATTTCCAAACATCCCTATTGATCACAGCTAAAGGGATATTTATGAAGGAAGAGTCTGAGATTAAGAATACGACTTTCTTCAAATCACGTATCTCACATGCATGATTCATGAAAACTGGCTTATACATTTTTGAGAATGACAAATGCCATTGGATTCATATTATTTTGAACATTCATAAAATAGGCTTATCAGATTTTAGAGTTTAAAAAGGGCTTGGTGAGTGGGCATGGTGGTGCATGCCTGTAATCCTGGCTCTGGGGAGCTGAGGCAGGAGGATCACCATGAGCTTGAGGCCAGTGTGGGCTACAAAGTGAGTCCAAGGTCAGCTTGAACTTCATAAAGAGATGCTAGGTGTGAAGGAAAAAAACAAAAAACAAAACAAAACAAAACAAAAAACAGAAAAGAAAAAGAAAGGGGGTTTGGATATAAAGAAAAATATTACTGCAAAACAAAGTCTTTCCAAATATATCTGGTTAGCTGTGGAAATAAATGATCTTCATAGGAAAATATGCATCTGTATTCAGTTTTTAGCCTGTGAAATAAGGAACAAGAAGTTATAAATTAAAAACAAGGAAAAAAGAAATTCAACGTTACAAAGGATAACATGAACATACGTAAACCATTGCTTCCCAAGAGGCTCTACAAGCTTCATAATGAGTTTAAGTAAATCCCCCCCCCCCCTGCAAAACAGGCTAGTAAGAACTAGGATTCAGGTTGGGGACAGGACTGAAAGGGAAGGCTGGCCTTGTGCTAGTCTTTGAGGGACGCCTGTTCTTACTTCTTGTGTCTTGATAGGGTCATTATCTGTAGAACCCAACAGTGATTAGGCGAGGGTGACCTAGATCCTCAAGTTTTAGATTTAAGCCTGAAATCTGCCGCTGATGGCGCCATCTACCCCAATGGAATGCCCAGGCGCCATGCAGCGCCCCCTGGTGGATACTGCTCACCAACACAGATACCCTGGAACGTACCTTTTTCTTCTTTTTGTAGGTAGTATTAGATTTCTTGCTGTTTTTCCAAATAGATGTAAAAGTGTCTGAAGAGATCTGGGGAGTGACTGTTATTTTTAAGACTGGTAGTCTACCTGAGCGGAGGAAGGACATAAAGAGTTAAGACATTTCTTGTTGGTGGTGCCAGCTCCTTTGGTTGGGTTGGTTCTCAACATTTCTAGGTCCGTTTTGTGCTTTCTGCCATTTAAGGTGGGGCATAAAGACCTCCTTGGTGCAGAGAATGGTTGTGTACGTCTGTAACCCCAGCACTTGGGAGGCTGAGGCAGGAGGATCTCTGGGAATTTGAAGGCTGCCTGGACTACAGAGTAAACTTGTCTAAAAAAAAAAAAAAAATCCAAATGAAACAAAACATCAGAATTTCTTTATAGGCAAATAAGTGACCTCAGGTGGTTAATTTGAATTTCACAGAAGATTACAATTCCAAATTAGCTTGTTAACTTGCAAATGATGAGGATACAGAAATACTCAATAGATAAACATCACTTCTTTAATCAGTGGTATTACTAATTGCTTTTAATGTCTAAAATAATGCTGTTACAGAGAAGTGGTAGGTGATTTTTCTCTGTGGAATCCTACCAGATTGTTTTTTTTTCCTTAAATATTTGTGAAAGTTCATTATATAGTTTTGGTATAATGCATTTATTAGTTTAAGATGCAACAGGCAGCCCTTTCCAATTTGTAGGTAATCATTTTACCTCTTTAGTGTGGGCCATGAATGGAAAATATGATTTTTTTTTTAGAATTTTTTTTTTTTACATTTATTTAGTGTGTGTGTGTGTGTGTGTGTGTGTGGCCAGCTCAGCCCACAGGGGGCAAGGCTGGCTGGCATGTGGTGCTGGAGGATTGAACCGCGGTCCCTGTGCTTTGCTAAGCTTAGTTTGTTCCAAGTAGGTGCTTTAGACCACTGAGCCATCTCTCCAGCCCCGGAAAATATGATTTTAACATAATTAAATTTATCAAGTTTTGACTTTATGTCTCAAATCACAAATATTTTCGTATAGTTTCTTCTAAGACTTTGGATATTTCCCTTTCAATTCTAAGTCTGGTCATCGCATAGTTCAGGCTTTTTTATTTACATTAAAAAAAAATAAGGTAGAGCAAACTGTGCAAAGTACAGGGTTCGGGAGCGAGTGCATCTTGCAGGCGGATGGCGCATGAGAGCTGATGGGGTGCTACCTGTCTTCCTGGCTCTTAGGGCTCCGAGGACAGCAGCAGCGGCCTTCTCTCCCAAGACATTGTTCCCGAGGTCAATTTCCCTTACGTGGGCAGAGCGTGTGATCAGGCTGTCCGGGGAAAGTGGAACAACAGGATGGCACTGTTCCCAGCATAGTTACTCAAAGAAATTCAGTCCAGTCATTCCGGAGAATAATCTTTCTTTCTTAGGTCCTTTCCGTTCTCCTTGCCCTTCCTCCCGGGACACTGATTCAATTTGAGACTAGATATCCTGTGCCCAGTTTTTCCTAGCTTATCTTGGTAAGACACACATTTTATTTGCCTTAAATGCTCCATTCATTTATTCGAAATGTGAAGTGATACAGGCAGGATTTCTCGGTCATTTCCATTTTACACACCAGCAAAACGTCAAAACGTTTGGAGGGACTGATGGAAACTGACTTTTAGTTTGTCAAATAAATAACCCCTCCCACCTAGAAACACTAGAAGCAAACGTATATTTCCCCATACAGTTAAGATGGGTGAAGTCTCAAAAGATGTTTTTTTAAATCAGTTAAGTTTAGCTCTATGAGAAAGCACCCTCTTTGTCTTTCTAAATTCTTTGAGAACTACTGAAAATTCCTCCAGGGCCTAGTACCGCTCTCCTGGCTGATTTTTGTGGCTTTTCGGTATAATCAGAGCAAAATCCTAAAGTATTGAAAACAATGAAAAGGAGTTAAAAATCACCATACCACGCTCAGCAACACAAACTCACCGTGTTTGGCAGCCAGTATGAAGCAGGAAGATACAACTCAACCAGAAGAAAAAAAAAGATCAAAACACTCAACATGACAATAATGGGACGGGCCAAATAGCTCAGTGGATTAAAGTGCCTGCAAGCAGGCACAGAGGCCAGGGGTTTGGTCCCCACCCCCAGGGGGCTTTGAGACAGCAATTGAGACTGGGTGTGGTGGCCTGGGCCTGTAATCCCAGCTCTTGGGAGGCTGTAAACAGGAGAATCACTAGGAGTCTGATGTAGTAGTGAGACTCTGAATACACTGTAGACCCTTCCCTAAAAAAAAATAAAAATAAAAATAAAAATTCAGAGTGAAGACATCTATATCTTGTTAATATTAATTTTAAGGAAGCTGTAGTGGCTATATTAATATCAATCAGTATAAGAAACATCAGTCAAAATAGATTTTGTACCAGGGAATATTACCAGAGTTAAATCACAATTTTGACCGTCCTCAATATTTTTGTTTGTTTGTTTGTTTTTTTGTTAAGGGTCTCACTACACAGCTCAAACTCATAATGATCTTCCTGTCTTCAGCCTTTCCAGCACTGGGTTTACAGGTGCACCACCACACCCATACTCAGTCCCTAGCTCAGCATGCCTAGGGGCAGGGCCAGCAGGGCATGTGGTGGCAGGGATCAAACCGCAGTCCCTGTGCTTGCCTAAGCAGGAGCTTAGTCCACTGAGCTATCTCACCAGCTTTGCCCTCAATAATCGATAGTGCAAATAAACAGACAATCTGTAAAGGCACAGAAGACTTGAACAACATCGTCAACTAACTTGACCTAGTTGACATTTATGGAACATCCCATCTAATAACATTAAAATACATATTCCTAGCTGGATGTTGTAATTTATGCCTGTAATCTCTGGATTTCAGAGGTTGAGGCAAGAAGACTACTGTTCAAGGCCAGCCTGGGTTATACACAGAGTTCAAGGGCAGAATGAACTATAGAGAGAGACCTTGTCCTCAAAAACCTAAAAAAGGAATCAAATCCGTTCCAAGTGCAATTTACCAAGATAAATTAGATCCAAGTCATAAAGCATGCATGTTCTCCAATCCACAACAATTTAACTAGAAACTAATGAAAGTATCTACGAAATGGAACCTGGACATGGTAGTGCAGGCCTATAACCCCAGCACTCAGGTGGCTGAGGTAGGAAGATTTTAAGTTTCAAGTGAGTCTGGGCTGTAGAAAGAGTTCTAGGCAAGCCTGATGACACAGCAAGACCTTGTCTAAAAAAATTTTTTTTTCTTAAAAATAGATATGTGAAACAAACAAACAACAGATACAGGGAAACTGAATAGCATCCTGCTAAGTAACCTATAGGTTAAAGAACACTGAAAGAGAAATTAAAAAATAGTTTGAACCTAAGAAAAATGAAAATACAACATAAAAATTTATGGGATTCAATGAGAGTAGTAGCTAGCATTAATGTAATAATTGATTTATTTTTTGTCTTTTTGAGACAGGGTTTCCCTATGCAATTCAGGCTGGCCTTGAGCTCACTTTGTATCCCAGGCTGGTCTTGAACTTCCAGCACTCCTCCTGCCTCAGCCTCCTGAGTACTGGTATTACAGGCATGTACCACCAAATCCAGCTAATGTAATAATTTATATGAGAAAAATAGAAAGGATTAAAATCCATAATTTAAGACTTTACCTTAATAGCCTAGAATGAAAAGCTCTATGCAACCCAAGGTAAGCAGAACAAAGGGAATAATAAAGAGATGAAATAAATGAAATTGAAAACAGACACAGTAGAGAAAACCAAGGGCTAGTTATTTAAAACTGATACATTTTAAGCAGGGTGTGGTAGCATATGCCTGTAATCCTAGTACTCTGGGAGGCTGAGGCAGGAAGATGTAAATTGGAGATTTCACTTTAGTGAGATCCTGCTTCAAAAAAAGGGTTGGGGATATAGCTAAGTGCGCAGGCCCTGGGTTGAACTCCTAGTGTGGAAGTAGTGGTGATGGTGTAAATAAGTATGTGCTTATTTACAAAAGTAAGTATGTAAGTAAAATAACAAATAAAAGAGGAGACATCACTACAGATCCTGTATGTGTTAAGATTATCATAAGGAAATATTATGAATAACTATGCCAATGAATTTGTGAATTTAGGTGACATGAATGAATAGCTCAACACACAAAAGTTATCAAAGCTTTATACAGGAAAAAGAAATAATGAGAATAACCCCATATTTATTTGAAAAATCAAAATTTTTTTTTTTTTTTTTTGAGACAGGGTCTTGCTATATAGTATGGGCTGGCCCTGAGCTCACGGAGTTCCTCCTGCCTCAGCCTCCCAAATGCTGGGATTACTGGTGTGTACCACCATACCTGGCTCGGAAAAATGAATTTGTAGTTAAAAATCTCATAGAGAAAGCTCCAGGTCCATATGTCTTCACTGAAGATGCTACCAAATTATGGCATGAATAGGATATGAAGTAACACTTTCTAACCCATTCTACTGTGTCAGATCACCCTAATGCCAACCAAAGATGTTACTAGAAAAGTATAGCCCAACATACTTCATTGATACAAAACTGTTAACAACATTTTAGCAACATCGAAAACATAATACAGGGCTGGGGAGGTGGCTCAGTAGAATAAGTGCTTCCCTGGCAAGCGCAAGGGCCTGAGTTCCATCCCCAGTTCTGAAAAAAAAAAAAA